ATCGCCAACCTCTCCACCGCAGTATCGCCCTTGTATCCGGTTGAGCAGCTCTGTGCGCCCCCCCCCCCCCCCTCGTCCCCATCAACAACCCACCGCCCCCTCCCCGTCCCCCCCATCCGCCCATCCACCGCCCTACCCTACTTGACCCCACCCCACTCCACCGTCCCCACCGCCACCCCTCCCCCCCCCACCACACACACATTCCTCATGACAGAGGTGACACAGCAGCTGGCAGAGGCCCTTGCCTCGTCAGTCCTGGCCCAGATGAGCTTGTTCCCGCTGCGCGAGCATGTGGCCTCGGCCACCGCCGCCGCCGTCGACTCGCTGCCGGCCGAGACGGCCTCGGTCGTCCGCAAGGACCTCCCGGGCCTGGTCGACGCCGTGTGGCAGTGTGTCAAGGCCGGCTACTTTGCTGCAGACACTCCGCCTGACGACTCGCGGCTTGCTCATGCCCTTGAAGACCTGGCGCTTCCCTTGTCCGCTACGGCCTCCCATGCAGACGCTGCCCATGTCCTCCTCCGCGGGCCGTGGACACCGCGCCCGTCGGCGCCCATCTCGGACGAGTCGGTGACCTGGACCGGCCCGCTGACCAGCGATAGCACCGCTCACCTCGGCTCGGCTGTTCCGCTCGACGACCAGCCGTGGTCTGCCGTCCTGGCGGCTGCTGCCACGGGCGCGCTCGCCGGCGTTGCGCTTGTCGTTCAGCTCGCCGCCCGCGTCGACGCCGGCGACGTGGATGGGCCGACCGCGCTTGCGTACATTGTGGCCAACGCGCCGTACCTGCGCGGGCCGGACGAGCCGGCAACGTCGGATCCGGCCCTCGCGGCTGCCTGCCTGTCCCTCCTCCGCGCTGCCACCGCCGCCGATCTCGCCGCCGCCGCCGCGTCCGACAAGTCGGCCAAGAAGATCGTCCGCAAGCTGGAGCTCGCGCTCGCCCGGGTCAAGGCATTTTGCACCGCCGCCAATGCGTGCGCGATTGCTCCGCTAGCCCTCGCTACCTGTGGCGTCTCGCTCGACACCGTCTCGGCCGTCGCTGTCGACGCCTACCTCGTGCCGCTCCTCCTGCACTGCGCAGAGACGGCGGCGCCGCTCGCACATACCTCGTATCTGGCCTTTCTCGCCCACATTGTTGCTGCCCGTCTCCTCGCCTCGCCGCCGGCCAGCGGCTCGCCGGCTGCCAGCAAGGCTGCGCTTGTCGCCTCGTCGCAGGCCACGGCCTCGGCACAGCTGCTCGGCTTCGACCTTCGCGCCCGCATCTTCGAGACGGGCATCCCGTGCATCAACGCCGTCTCGCCCATGCGGGTCGAGGCGCAGCTTCTCTCGGCCGAGGCTGTCTCGTTTGATGTCATGCTGCAGCTGGTGGACGATGTGCTTGACGCGTGAGCACCTTGCGTGAGCATCATGCGTCCTCTACCTCACTCCCTCAGCCGAGATGGTCGCCCTGGGTGGTGTCGACCCGGTACATGACGTCGATAAAGCCATGAGCCATCTGCGAGACGAGAGAGCGGTCGGGAATCGACTCGGCCATGCCGTAGATGGCCCCGATGCCGTCGCGCGGCGCAATCGGGTCCTTCATCAGCACAGCCGTGCACTCTGCAAGATCCGCCAGGAACTCGTCCGCCACGCCGGGCTGGGTGTGCGGGACGGTGACCGCCAGGTGGAGCGACGACGGCTGCTGGCACGTCGACAAGTTCCATCCGCGCTTGGACATGGCCGACGAGAGCAGGTAGATATCAAAAATGTTCGAAGCAAAGCCGACGACACACACCTCGCCCGAGCCGTAGAGGAAGAGCCCGTCGATGGCCGCGACGCCCGCGGCAATCTTGCGCGTCGTCTCGACAATCGACTTGGTCGACGCCACGTACCCGGCCCGCCCGTGCGCCATCATGGCCGCCCACGTGCCGGCAATGGCCGAGCCAGCCCGCGAGCCGCAAATCGACGGCGACGCATAGATTCCTCCAGGCCAGTCCGGCGCCACAAAGTACATGTAGTGCCGCAGCGCCTGCGTCGAGAACATGACCACCGACGCACCCTTGGGCGCAAACCCGTACTTGTGGGTGTCGGCGGAAATCGAGGTCACCCCGGCAGCACGAAAGTCAAAGACCTCGGCGAGTGGGTACCCGGCGTCGGCCATGAACGGGACAAGGAAGCCACCGAGACAGCAGTCGACGTGCATCCCGATGTCGTGCGACGCCGCCAGCGCCGCAAGCTCCTGGATCGGGTCCACCACGCCGTGCGGATACGACGGCGCAGAGCCGGCAATGAAAATGGTATTGCGGTTGATAGCCGCAGCCATCGCGCCCACGTCCGCCGCCCGCGTCACAGGATCCACAGGCACATGCACCATGTGGATGCCAAAGTAGCCCGCCGCCTTGTCAAACGCGGCGTGGATCGTGTCCGGCACAACCATCTCTGGCGCGCTGATCCCGCGCTCGTACCCGCGGTCGCGGTACGCCTTGCACGCCATCAGAATCGACTCGGTTCCTCCGGTCGTCATCACTCCGCCCGCCGTCCGCGGCGCGTTGTACATCGAGAGCGTCATGGCCACAACCTCGGCCTCCATCCGCCGCACGCCCGGGAAGACGTCGGCATGCAGCGGGTTCGTCCAAATGTACTTGCCCACCACCGCGCCCATAAACTCGGTCCACTCCTTGCCGCCGTGGTACACCGTGCCGGACACCTTGCCGCCCGCCCAGTCGACATGGCCCTTGACCAGCATCCGGTCCGTCGCCGCAAGCACGTCAGCCACAGGCAGCCCGGCATCCGGCAACGCGTAGTACATCGGCTCCTCCGGAAGCGGATCAAACAGCGTCGCGCCCATCGACTCGAGCTGCTTTTCAATCTGCCCGTCCACGTACGCCCGCACCGCAGGCACCGTCTTGGCCAGCCGGAAAATCTCTTTCTTGGCCCGGGCGAGCAGCGGCTCGGGCGCGCTCACCACCCGCACCACCCAGCACACCGCCACGTAGCCCAGAATCGAGACCAGCCCGATCTGCCAAGCCCGCAGCCCGGCAGTCTGCGCCTCCACCATGTTCTCCAGCCACAGCCCGACTCCGCTCACTACAGCAGCCGCAGCATCGGCAGCAGCAACCACCAGACCGTCCCCGCCTGTCGCGTTGCTCCCGCCACCGCTCGCGATCCCCTCACCGGCCACCGGCACCACCGGCACCGTCTCGCTCGCCCACGCCGCCGCCACGCACACGCATCCCACCACAGCGCCCACCATTGCCACCTGCTTTGCTGTAGCCATGTCCATACTAGCAGAGTGCGGTATGCTCAGCCTCCACCACCACCCCCCCCCCCCCCCCCCGGACCTTCCTTCCAACCTGTCTCGCGTGCCCGACTGACGTGCTCTCCAAAAAGTACGACCTTTTTTTGGGCGCTCTCTCCCGCAATCCCCGCACTCCCCCGCCGTCCCCATCCTCCACCGCTTGATCGATCACGATCGCGAACACGATCACCGCCACAACCCCCAGCCGCACCCGCCACCAACACACGCACTCTCTCTCACACACTCATCCATCGTCATCGCTACCCGCACTCTACCTTGACTAGTGCATGGCCGAGGCCATTCGGGACTCTCTTGTGCGGTACGTTGGGTCTCCTTCTACGCACCCCCCTCGTCAAGCTTGCTTGCTGGACGAAGCGCGCCAAGCCCAACGGTCAGCCGACTCACAGGAGGACAAAGACAGAAAGGCCGGATTGGACGGGTTTGACACGTCAGCGGTGACACCTTCATCGCCTACAGCCATGGCATGGGCATCGCGCTCGCTCAACATGTCGCAGCTGCGATCGCCGATGCCGCACCCGCCTCCGTCGACGTACGACTCGCCGTCGGCCTCGTCGCCGTTCTTTGCCCGCGAGCCCGAGGTGGCTGATCCGGGCGCTACAGCGTCGCCGACCCCATCGCGGGCACGCAAGTTTGTTATTACACTCGCGCCTGAAGACTCTGGGCCGATGCCGGCCTCGCCGGGATTTGCATCGTACCTGACAGCGACCGGACCACCGCCGGCGTCGCCCCTGTCGGCTGCCGCCCGTGCCGCGCACGAGGGAGCGCGGGCAGCGGCTCGGATGTCAGCCGCCGAGGCGCTCTCGCCGGTCGTCCTTGCCCGCATGTCGTCGCTTGAGCGCGAGGTCTCGGCACTTCGCTCGGCCGATGCCGAGGACAAGGCGCAGACGGCCGCCAAGGCCGAGGCCGCCAAGCTCGAGTCGGAGCTGGCGGGCAAAACCAAGGTAGCGCAGTCGCGGCTGGAAAAGGTGCATCGGCTCGAGCTGCAGATCCAGTCGCTCCGCGCGGAGAACCGCCACCTTGACGCGGTCCACCGGTCGGAAAAGTGCCACCTCAACGAACTCGTGGCCGAGCTCCGGACCCAGGTCGGCGACGAGAACGCGCTCCGTGACGAGCTCGCCGACACCAAGCGGCGCGCAGCCGAGGCCGGCGAGCGGCTGCTGGAAAAGGAGGCCGAGGCCGCCGCCCGTTCTGCAGATCTCATCCGCGCCCGTGCTGACAACGATGCGCTGCGCGACGAGCTTGCCCGCGCTCGCGACACTGCGGCCGACCTCCGCACCGAGGTTGCCGCCATCGAAGGCCAGCTTGCTGCCGGTCGCGAGGCCCAGCGCGAGCTTCGCTTGCTCCGGGTTGCCAAGGACGACGCCTCGAGCGAGGCCGCCGGTCTGCAGACCATGCTCGAGCGAGCCAACGCCAAGGTAGCTCAGGCTGCCGAGCGCGCGGCATCGGCGGAGGCTGCGCTCGCCGAAGCCCGCACTGAGATCGCGTCGCTGCGAACGGCGCTCGACGCTGCGCGGGAACAGCACCGCGCCGACGTCAAGGCCCTCGAAGACGCGCACGCTTCCAAGCTCACCGATACCCACGAGTCAGCGTCGGGCCGGGTCGCCACCCTCGAGGCGCTGCTGAAGGAGGCACAGGACAAGGCGGCACAAGCGGCTGCCGACCACACGGCCGAGCTCGCAGCGGTCCGTGCCGAAGCGCAGGAGGCCATCAAGCAAGCCCAAGCCACGCTCCACGCAACCCACGCCGATCACACCCAGACCATTGCCGAGCTCCGCGCCGACCACGCGCGGCTAGTCCGCGACATGACCGACGAGCACTCGACCAAGCTCCAGGAGGCTCTCTCGCACCACACCGGCAAGCTCCACGCCCATCTCTCCGAGCTGCACTCTGAGGCGTCGGACAAGGCCGCGGCAGCAGCCAACGTGCACAAAAGCCTCAAGGATGAGGCCGCAGACCTCATCAACCGCCTCGACGCCGAGATGGCCCGCAGCGAGCAGCTTGAGGCCCAGCTGGCCGCCGAGCGCGAGTCGGCTGCGGCCCGCGAGGCTCAGCTGGAGGCCCGCATGGCCCAGCTCGCCGCCACTCACGACGAGGCAGTCGCCACTCGAGTGCCCAGGAGCCAGATGAACGAGGCGTTGGCAAGCCTTGAGGCATCCAATGCTGCGCTCAAGGCGAGCGTGTCGGCTGCCGAGACGCGGGCGACGACCTTGGTCCGCGAGCGCGACGAGCTGCAGTCGCAGCTGGCGCGGGCGGAAGCACGCATCGCCGCCCTCGCCGCTGGGAACGACCAGGCTGCCGAGCAGGCGCTCGATGCCGCACGGGCCGCACGCGAGACCAAGCGCAGCCTCAAGGCACGGGTGGCCAAGCTCGAGGCTGCGCTCAAGGCGACGTCGAGCAAGCTGGCAGCGGCGCGCGAGGCGAAAAAGAGCCACTCAGCCGGCGCCCTCGACGAGGCCGAGCGGCTGCGCGGGGTGATTGCACTCCGCGAGGCCTCGATCGAGAGCTTGCGGACCAAACTCGCGTCAGAGGCCAAGCTCTTTGCGCAGTTTAAGGAGCAGACGGATGCCCAGCTCGCCGACGCACAAGCCGAGGCCGACGAGCTGCGCGGACGGCTGGGGACCAAGGCTCGGACGGCGGCCGAGCTTGAGCGGTACGTGGCCCAGACCGAAGACAAGGTCGGCAAGTGGCAGAGCGCACTGGAGAAGAGCCGCGCAAATCGCGCGCAGCTTGCCGCGCGGGTAGACTCGCTGACCCGCGACCGCGACGAGGCCGCCACCGAGCGCGACCAGCTCAAGTCGCGCAATGCCAAGCTCACTTCGATGCTCGCTGTCCTCCGCGAGAGCCAGGGCAGCGCCGAAGACGAGATCGCCGCCGTCCGCGACGAGACGCGGCGGGTGAGTCGCGATCTGCGCAGCGCCGAGACGCGCGCCGCCGACGCCGAGGCGCGGGCGGCGGCGGCGGAGCGGACGCTTGCCGAGCTCCGGACGCGAACCGAGGGCGAGATTGCCGAGCTCCGCCGCGAGGCTGGGGCGGCGCGTGACCAGGTCCATGCGCTCCGCGACGAGATGGCCCGCCGGCAGCGGGCGGCGGTCGACGGCCTCCACCACATCCAAGACGAGATTGCGCACGTCGAGGTGTAAGCAAGCTTGCTAGATGGTAAAGTCTGCGTACTGCTGAAGCTTGGCGGCGTAGTGTGTGGGGAAGGCAAAGGTGCGGAGCGAGGCGTAGTACGTCGTGACGATGAGGTAGAGCGAGGTGTTGAGGACTGAGCCAAGGGCGAGGGTCTGCGGGCGGACGAGCTGGTGGCCCTCGAGCGGGCCGGTGAGCGGCGGGTTGAGGACCGAGACGGTGGACATCTGCTCGTCGAGCTCGACGGCGACGGCGAGGAGCGCCGAAGTGAGGTCCGGTAGTGTCCGCTGGACAATGCCGTAGGCGTCGTCGGTCTTGGCGGCGGCGGCAAGCTTGCCAAGCGCGCCTACGCACCAGAGCTGGAGGTAGAGGTCGTCAAAGAGCGAGCGGGTGTGTGCCGCCGGCGAGCGGTAGAAGAGGGCGGCAAGAAGAGGGCGGACACGGACGGCGTCGCCGAGAATAGCCCAGAGCGAGGCAGTCTGCGAGGGGTCGGGCATCCGCGCCGCAAGCCACGCGTCGTACGAGGTGTCGTCGCCGTACGGCGCGGCGCCGGAGGCTTTGGCGAGTGGGTTCACATGCCGCTGGAACCACCAGTACAGCAGGGTCGAGGTGGTGTACGGGCCGGCGCGGACGGCGGCAAGGGCCTCGGTCTCGCGGACCCGCCAGGCTGCCATCTGGATGGTGAGCCCGTCAACCACCTCGAGCAGGCGACGGAGGAGCTTGGTCCACGCCTTGCCCGAGTCATCGAGAAAGAGCGCCATGCGGCGGCGCTCGTCAAACTCGGCCACCATGTGCAGGTCGAGGAAGGCAAGGTGGCGGACAAGCGGGTCGTCATAGTACTCGAGCGCCGCAATGAGAAGCGCCGACGAGTTGGAGTGAGTCCCGCCCACAAACGCGTGAGGCTGGGTGAGAAAGACTTCGGCCATCGAGTTGGTCAAGTCAAAGATGAAAACCACAAGGACCGACGCCGCCGCAATGTGCAGCGAGAGCATCGGGTCGAACCAGCGCGCAGGCGTGGCGCACAGCGGCGTGCCGAGGAGCGGCAGCGCGTAGACCGGCATGCCGGTGGCAGCGTTGAGGAACGGCGCCACGGCGGCGGCGCCCGCCAGCGACGCACCGTGCGCCGCCAGCGAGACCGCCATCCACCCGCCGGCCACAAGCCGCGAGACAAGCGCCACAAGCTTCGCCGAGCGGACCAGAAGGCCTGGGACAAGAGCCCGGATCCGGAACCGCCGCGAGAGGGCCAGGCGCGGAAAGGCGAGCTGGTAGCGCTCAAAACCAAGGTGGGCGGCGGCAAAGACAAGGCCAAGGACTCCCGAGTGGACAAACATGTACACAAACCGCTCGTCGACGCACGTCATCTCCAGCCGGAGCGTGGCGTCGGGCGGCGAGGCGTCGATGGCGAGCAGCGGGCTGGCCAGCTCCGAGCCGCGGAGCCAGAGCATGGCCCAGGTAGCGAGCGGCGTCAGTGCGCCAAACACGCCCACAAACAGCACGTACTTGGGTCGGAGGTACCGAGCCGACGAGTCAACCGCATTGAGCGGAACAAGCCGGAGCGCCGAGCGGACAAGCGCAAAGCCTGCCGCCGCCGCCAGAACCGTCCCGCCCAGCACGCCGCCGACAAGGACGCCAGCGAGCGCAGGGGTCACCCCATGGATCTCAGCAGGCACCGCGCCATCTGCAAAGGAGCCATGGGCGAGACTTGCCGGAGCCGAGCGGGCAAAGAGCCATGTGAGCGGAAGAAAGCGAAGAGCGAGTCTCAGCCAGTACGGTGGCCAGAGCCAGAGCAGCGAGGGTGTGGCCGAGGCGAGGGTGACCGTCAGCGCTGCCGCGGCCAGCGCCCACACCGCCGCTGCGCCCGTCCGCCACTTGCGCAGCTCCCAGGCCATGCTGCGGAGGCTGCGTTGGACCTCGGACATAGCCACAGAAGTCTGTCGTCCAGCCATGGTGGAGGGTGTGGGTGGGTGGGTGGGAAGGGGTGGAGGTGGGGGTGGGGGTGGGTGGAGTGGAGGGGAGGGGAAAGACGGCGAGGGAGAGGAGGAGGAGGAGGAGGGATGGCCCAATGGCGCGCCCTGTGCCGGCACCCGTCACCCGCGGGGAACCGTCTCCAGGCGGTCGCATTGGCACGGGGGACCCCCCCCCCCTCCCCCACCCACCCTACCCTACCCCCTACCCCTACCCTAGAGAGCAAAGAGCGCACCAGGGTCCCACACCTGACTCTACGTGGGACACGTTCTGCAGCTGGAGAGTTGGTCGCAGAGAGCATGTCTGGTGTCGGTTCTGGAATGGCCGTGGATGGCCTTGTCGGGGTGGTGGCAGGCGGCGCAGGGACCGGTGGCGCAGGGACCGGTGGCGCAGGGGCGGGGGAAGCCGCTGACACTGGGCAAGTCGGAGCTCTGCAGACCACCGGGGGAAGCCGCTGACACTGCGCTCCTGCCTCTGCTCCCAACG